CTTGTACATTTGTATTTTAAATGTCTCAATCACTTATCTTCAAAATTTCGATTTGCTTTAGGTTATCAAAATGAGCCTAATAATAAGTTGACTAAGCTAAGTTAGTTATGCAAGTATTGGTTGTAAGCTCATCGATATTGTCTTTCACTTCTTTGTGGAAAAGCCTATCGTTAGGAGAATTACCTGATTAAGCTTCTTGAAAACTGCTAGCAGCTGTCTGAACATTTTCCTGGAACATCCTACACATGTTTAACTTCAATGTTTATGAATTTAACTGTTCCCCAGGAGATTAAAGACTACATTAATGCCATTGGTCAGATTACCAGACAAACACCCAAACAAACCCTAACCAAAAGCACTTTCGAAGTCGAAGATCCTACCAGCAAAATAAAATTCTCTCAGTGGATAGACTTTATGCAAAAAATTCTTTCAAGCATAACTTCTAGTTTGGAAATGCACAAGTTGGAAGGAGAAACCTACACTGTGCGGAAAAAGTTGGAGCTCATCAGCAGACATAGTAAAATATTGGAAGAACTGTACACCATCGTAACAGGCGTGACTAGCCAAGCTTGTAAATGCGACCTATTTGTCAAGAGAAAGTTTTGCTACTTCATGTATCACAGCTTAAAAGCCGTGCATTGGGATTTGAAAGCTTGTATTGCCGGCCTACGATTGGCAGAAATGTACATGATAAAGGATGAGTGTGAAATGCTTCAAAACCTATCAGCAGACCAAAGAGTAAGAGATAGACAGGTTGAGCAGTTGGAAAAAATGAAGAAGTGGATGTTCTCCACGGTGTGTAAAATAATTACTTGTTGCAAGTTTGTTTTTCTTTTTTGAGCAAAAAGTCGTTTTTATCCTTAAACTGAAAAGGGATCCTTGATTACAAATATTTGCCTTGTTTAATCGTGTACATTTTCAGGCATTCAGAATCTGACGATAAGTGCTATTGGGTGTTACATTTAACATAAAGATCTAAGTCTGATTATTCTTTCATCCAAATCGCAGGCAGAAGACGAGGAACAAGAGAAATTTATATCTTCACCACCAAAGAGTTAAATCAGGAACCCATCTGTTTCAGTGCAGGTAATTGAGACAGTATCAAACTACCGAAGATTCTCAGCCTTAAAATGTAACTCAGTGTAGTATACCTTCTTTTTCATAAAATATTGATCATTCACAGCTTAGCGTATCATAAGATACTTCAAGATCCATAAATTTTGAAAGAGTGAACTCATATACTGCAATTTTTTTTTACATAGAATGCAGGTATTGCTTGACTATCCTTATGCGTTCCTGGTTTCACATACCTGGAAATCTTCACCTTTGGTGTTAGTCAATGAATAATCTCGTTGTATACTTTTCATATTAATATACTTTCTAATGTTTATATTTTAGTTCCACGGAGCAGAATCAAGGACACCCTCGCCAGGAAAAATTAAGAAGGTTCGGTCAATGAGCCATGGCACACGGCACGAGCCTTATGGATATATCTCCTTTATCGCAACAGTTATACCGGTGAGGGTCACGATATTTGCTTGGTGATAGCAGAGACAGGGTTGGGAGGGAGAACTTTAGGAACTGTTCGTCATTTATTGCCTGGGAGTGGGGGGGAAGGGGTCGTAGAATTTTAATCGTTTCACGAGAAAATTTACCTAATCCTCCAATGAGGCTCTATAATATTATGACCCCCCCATTATTTAATAATTATTCGCCGAAGGCGAGGTGAATATTGTCGAATAATCCCCGAGACGAAGTCGAGGGGATTATTCCACGATATTCCGCGAACCTGAGGCGAATAATTGTTTTAGTATAACTTCAGAGCAGAACAAAAGAGAAATTTCTAAAATCATAACATTTTATTATCATATATTAACATTTTATTTTAACATTTTATATAAACCGCGCGGAACGGTTTATATAGCGTCATATAAGGAACCGCTCGACCAATCAGATTGCAGGAAACTCTTTGCTGTGCTCTGAAATTATACTATTAGCAGTCTATTGGCAGTCAATTTTCCTTAGTACACCCTTTATGCTTTTGAAGACGATTGATCCCCCCTCTGTTCCCCCTGAAAACCCATGTGTTCCCCCCTCCGACCTAGGCGATCAATAATGATTGATCGCTAAGCATCTCTAATTTTGCGGAATGGTTGTAAATTTTTCTGAGAGACATCCCTCTACGCGCCCAGAGAAATATCCATTAGTTGCCCTTGCTTTTAAGTTCCGCGACTTCATTTATCCAGCCTCGTCTTTGCAAGGCGTTAAATTTTTTAGAATTAGGAATTGCCATTACAACAGTTAGTGATGCAAATTATTTTGTCTTTTGCAGTTCAAACTAAAGGACAACAATTTGGAGCTACAATTTAAGAACAAAACAAGGTGAAGGAACTATGAAAATACAGACCAGCCTGTCTCTTATTCTCCAAGAACACGCAAGAAGCCTTCCTATCGCCCAAGACGATCCATAGGCCCTGTTTGCCCAAAATTGGAGTTGAAAAGTCGTCGAGACCGCATTATTAATATTCTATCCAGAGGGAGGAACTTCTAAAGTATTAGAAATCAGTGGACTTGTCTCTTCCAACGAGGAGTCTGGAAAAAGAGAAAAATAGTCTGGAAAATAGTCCGGAGTTTTATCAACTTCATACAAAAACTCATTTACGAGATGAAATATCTTTGGTATGGCAAGCCATTTGTAGCAATATTCAAAAATTATTTCATTCAACCATTCAACTGAAATTCAACCGTTCAATTCAAACCCAATTCAACCATTCAACACCCCCATTCAACCATTCAAGAATCTATTCAACTATTCAACCCCAATTCAACTATTCAACCCCAATTCAAGTATCCAACCCCAATTGAACTATCCAACTCCAATTGAACTATCCAACCCCAATTCAACTATTCAACCCTAATTCAACTATTCAATCCCGCATTCAACCATTCAATCCCGCATTCAGACCCGATGGTTGCAGGACTGAGTAACCTGTCACAATTACACGAAAGACGTCCTAAGACGTCTTTTGTTTACTTGGAAATATTGTACACAGTAAGTATTCCTTCGATTGACATTTATAACAATGTAACGTATTTCTTCAGACAGGTTCAATAAAAGAATGAAATCAAAATTGAATTAAAAAGAGAAAAATCGAGTTTCCAGATGGGATTTGAGCCCACGACCCTCCGTGATCTAGTCGGATGCTCTAACCACTGAGCTACAGGAGACTATGGTGGGCAAGGGTCAATTAGTGGGTATTGACTGGAACCGCATCACGCGGCTACACAGCGAAACATCAGCTTGCGCATAGAAGCTCACCAACAGCATCACGTTGTCGCATCAAAGCATCACATGCATTAAAGCATCACATGCAGCCAACCAGCCCCCAAAGTGAGCATGTAAAGATGAAATAAACAATTTTTAATATAGGAGAAAAATCGAGTTTCCAGAGTCTCCTGTAGCTCAGCTGTTAGAGCATCCGACTAGATCACAGAGGGTCGTGGGTTCAAATCCCATCTGGAAACTCGATTTTTCTTTTATATTAAAAATTGTTTATCTCATCTGAATCAAAAAGACCGAAAATTTTTGTTGGCTAGAGATACACACTAAGATGGGCTGCCTGTGGTTTCCCAAAGTTCTTTGCAGAAATTCCTCAAGTGTTTCAGAAGATATGTTGTACGATGGCCTCCCGGGTGAAGAAATATTTGTTTGTCTGTTTGAGCCCAAGTTAGCGACAGTTGTTGTGGTAATGGAAGCTAGAGACAGTAAATGGTTCCAGCCTTGTAAAATATCATCAAAAGCGGACATGATTTTTTGCAACTGTGTTTTCTCGTTATCTTCAAACTGGAAACAATCTTCCAGCTTTCTTTACAAGGAGATTGTTACAGCATGCTTTTCCAACGGTTCCACCTCGAAAGGAATCTTACATAACTGAGTCGTCTTGTTTAGGATGTGGCTTAAAAAACTAGGTATTTCTGTTTGCTCAAATTGCTGTGCATCTGCCGCCATCTTGCTTTCTATGATAACTTAAGGTTTTAGGCTCCAGCTCGGTCGTCTTTCGTGCCAGGTTCCCCAGTCAGCCAGTTGAATAGTTGAATGCGCGATTGAATGATTGAATTGGGATTAAATAATTGAATGGGGTTGAATAGTTGAATTGGGGTTGAATAGTTGAATTGGGGTTGAATAGTTGAATTGATGTTAAATAGATTCTTGAATGGTTGAATTGGGGAGTTGAATGGTTGAATTGGGGTTGAATTGAACGGTTGAATTGAACGGTTGAATTGCAGTTGAATGGTTGAATGAAAGAATTTTTGAATATTGCTACAAACGGCCTGCCGTACTTTGGTATGTCAGATTTCATGATAAGTCTTGTCCTAATCAAATAGTTATCATACATTGGAGGAACACATCGTTGCTTATACAATTGTCACTGCATATTTTATTGTTTATCTTGAAGTTTTAGTCTTAAATGTGCACGAAGATTGTAAGGATAAAAATTTGACTCTTAAGGATGGCTAGGTCTATAAAAGACCCACTAGACCAGCGAAATGAAAAACGAAATGACGGTAAAATGTTAATGAGTTTTCATAACGTGAATTTTTTTTGGAAAGGCCTGTGGACGAAAAATTAGTCTTTGTATCAGTTTGTAATCTCACGGTTAAGCCATTGGCGGACCAATTCTAGCACGAGCAACAGAGAATTGGGAATAAAAAGAAAAAAGAATGATGATTGCTATTCATGGAGTAGATCCTAAAATACACATGGCAAACTCGTAGAATAAATGAAGACATTTAAAACAATATTTCAGTTCTTCAAGATGGAAAACTTCTGAGTTTGTGACGTAGCTTCCACAATCACCACGATTTACCATATGCGTAGAATTACGCCCAAAAAGGTCGTAGGCTAAGGATGGGTAGATGGTGTGGCAAGGGTAGAGCCATGCAGTCAGATATAAAGGCGTGTTTGAAGGCTTAGTCGCGCGGAGAAAAGTGCAACCCTCGCACGATTCTTCATTCGCGCGCGTGGAGTCACTCACGCTCGCTTACGCAAGGGAGAGAATAAGGTAAGTATAAGTCAAAGTACAATAACAATAAATTTGAAGATATCGATGATTTATTTTCTCTTCGAAGCAATAGGGCTAATTTTGGTGAATTCATTATTTCTTCAACTATTTTCCTCATGCAAATATGATTTCACTAGTTTTCCAGTTCACGCTAATTAATATTGTTCACAAAGGCTAATATGATGTAAGCCTCCTGAAATTTGAAATTTGTTAAAAATCTCGAAAATGGTCATACAAATCGCCTCCTTTTGTCTTGCCGATGGAGATCTGGCTACTAAGTTCGTTATTGCGTGGAAACCTGGCGACGAAAGTATATGGTCACCTGACTATTAAACCACTTGAAGGTCATTCAAGATGGAAGCTGTAAACAACTAAGAATAGCTTTGAATTCGGTCCAGCCATATTCATGAAAAATATGGCGCGTTTTTAGTGTCAAAATTCAAAACCTCTTGTCAGACTTGCTATTTTTCTATTCAAACTTCCTGTTTGACAGTTCGGATACGCTATTTGTTTACTGAAACATCCATTGTTTCAATTCAAAGCAATATTTCTTCGATTCAGTCATGCTGTTTTTCTATTCAAACGTGCAATCCTTCGTTTTAAAAGTGTTTTTCTACTACCCAAACATTCAGTCGTC